TGAACTCTGGGCCTGGGCGCTGTCCCTCAGCTCTTCAGCTCAAGGCTAGCGCTCTACCACTTGAGCCACAGCGCTACTTCCTGCTTTTTCTTTTTTTTGCTTATGTGGTGCTGAGGAATCGAACCCAGGGCCTCAAGCATGCAAGGCAAGTGCTCTACCACTGAGCCACCTTCCCAGCCCTTGCCCAGCTTTTTGGTGTTTATAATTGGAGATAAGAGTCTCACAGGCTTTCCTGCCTGGTCTGGATTTAAACGGTGATCCTCAGCCTCAGGTGTGAGCCACTGGCTCCCAGTTCCCTCTGTGTTTTTAATGGTCCGGTGTGACCACAATAAGCCTGTTGTTGTGCTCCCAAGAGCTGCCAGGTCTCCCCTTAGCCACCCCAACATTGCTTTCCACAATCTGATTCTCACTCAGGCCGCCTAGTTTTTTTTTCTCTGCACTGGGCCTGTAATTCTAGGAGCTGCCACAAGGGGGGGGCAGTGCTGCGGGTGTCTGTCCACAGCCACCAGCGGAGAATAGCGGAGAAAATGATTTCCTGGCCAGGCTCCTGCTTTGGGGCCCCTCCCCTGCTCCTGGCCCCCTGTGTGGAAGCCGGCGGGGACCCCACATCCCTCTGCACACAAGAGACCAAAGACAAGTCTTTGCCCCAGCCCTCCTCCCTGCCAACCCCCTTGCCCGGGCTGGGAGAAGCTCATCGAATCGACTGATTCATTCCTGGTGACTTTCGCAGCCGCTGCTTCCGTGGCTGCACCTTGAACTTGCATTAAGTTTTAATTAAAGCCGTTTCGCCGGCCTTGCCCTTGGCTAAATGCAGCTGTGGGCACAGGACACATAGATATTTAATACTCTGCCTTCTCCCTGCTGATGGCGCAGGGGGCCCGAGGGTGTACCCCAGCCATGCCCTGCTCGCAGCGATCGGTGTGGCTCGCTTAAGTGTGCCCACAGGCCCTGAGCGAGAAGCAGCGCAATAACTATTCATTGCCCTGGGTTAAGTGTGCCCGGGGGCGCCCGTAAACTCAACGCAGTGATTAGCGATGGCTCCCAGGGAAGGCTGCCCGGGTCCTGAGGAGTGTCCGCGGGCCCTAAATATAGTCTGAGCATGATCATTTAAAGGGCACCGTGCATCTGGCCTGCACGCTCCATCACACCTTTCCTTCCTTCCTTTCTTTTTTTAATTCTATTTATTTGGTACCAGTCTTGGGGCTTGAACTTGTCTCTTGGGTACTGGAGCCACAGTTCCACTTCTGGCTTTTTTTTAGTCGTTAATGACGGGTGAGGAGGCTCATGCTTTTCTGCCTGGGCTGGGTTTGAACTGTGATCCTCACCTCTCAGGCTCCTGAAGAACTAGGATCACAAGGGTGAGCTACCAGCGCCTGGGCCCAAACACCAAGAAATTTCAGCGACTGCCCAAGGGGCCTCTTGCTGGCTAGCTTCAGTGTTCTGGCACTGGGAGTGGGGGATAGGGGGTGCAGGGGGCAGGGGGCGACTCTGGGCAGCTGGGCTTTTCCTAGTCCTCCTCCTCCTTCATGACTCAGTCCTCTGTGACCTCAGCCCTCACCTGTTTGGGGGTGGTCACATAATCCCCGCTGGTCAGTGACTATGTTCTGTGCCTCCACCTCCCCACCTCGCAGCAAAGTCAAAGGGGTTTGGCGACCATAGAAGAGGCAACAGCCGGGCAGAGGTGGCACCGCCGGCCGCTGGGGCTCAGGCGCGCCCTGCGCCCACCCCCAAATACCTCAGCCCTTGCCTAGGAGGTGGGGGAATGCCATCGGTATACTGATGCCTACGGAACCCGTTGCTCTGGTTTAACTGGTGCTGTCTTCAGTTCAGTACGGAAAGTACTCGACTGCTTCATTCCTAGGGGACCTGGGACAGCTGGTCACCCTCAGGATGCTGCCACTGGGGGGTGTGTGTGTGTGTGCTGGAAATAAGGCTTGAACTCAGGGGCTGGTGTTCTTGTTTGGCTTTTTGACACAAGGCTGACACTCTACCACTTGAGCCACACCTTCACTTCTGGCTTTCTTTTCTGCTTATGTGGTGCTGAGGAATCGAACCCAGGGCCTCAGGCATGCAAGGCAAGCGCTCTACCACTGAGCCACCTTCCCAGCCCCCACTTCCTGCATTTTGCTGGTTAATTGGAGAGAAGAGCTCGCAGGCTTTTCTTCCCTGGGCTAGCTTGGATTCACAATCCTCAGATCTCAGCCTTTTGAGTAGCTAGGATTGCAGGCGTGAACCACTGGCACCAGGTTCAGAGAGACCAGTTCTGACCCGCGGACATCTGAGCCTCACACACCCTACCCTCCACCTCCCCAGCTGTGCGCGGCTCCCCTTGGCCCGGCCAGGCCAGCAGCTGAAGCAGTGACATTTCCCTGGGTCTGTGGACACTTGAGTCCAACAGCATCAACGATTTTCTTGGGTTCATGAGCAAACAAGGCGGCTGTAGCACCTCCCGCGGGCCCTGCGGCGCTGATGGCTGAGGCTGGGGTGCGGGCAGCAGGCTGCTTGCTCAGCCTTGCTCGCAGCGTGCCAGGAGACAGGGCTTCCTCTTTGTTCTGCAGGTCTCTCGGCCCCTGCCCCTGAGGACCCACAGTGGACAGGTAGGTGCGGCAGGAACACTTTCCAGGCTCAGGGTGGAGCCGAGGCAAAAAAGTTTTGTTTGTTCTTGTGTTGCTACTGGGACTTGAACTCAGAGCCTTAGCTTTTTTTTTTTTTGGTTGGTTGTGGGGCTTGAACTCTGGGCCTGGGCGCTGTCCCTCAGCTCTTCAGCTCAAGGGTAGCGCTCTACCACTTGAGCCACAGCACCACTTCTGGCTTTCTTTTCTGCTTATGTGGTGCTGAGGAATTGAACCCAGGGCTTCATGCATGCAAGGCAAGCACTCCACCACTGAGCTACCTTCCCAGCCCCTCCCCCTGTGTTTGTTTTGGCCAGTCCTGGGGCTTGAACTCAGGGCCTGGGCTTCTTTTTGCTCAAGACTAGCACTCTACCACTTGAGCCACAGCGCCACTTCTGGCCTTTTCTATGTATGTGAGACTGAGGAATCGAACCCAGGGCTTCCTTCATGCAAACACTCAACCACTAAGCCACATTCCTCGTGAGTTTGTTCCTTTGGGAGCCACCTGTTTGAGCAGCAAGCTTCTCTCCCCTCTTTTCCTTATGTTACTCCAGGTGTTGTTGTTATTATTATTATTATTTTAATGCTGGTCCTGGGGCTTGAGCTCAGGATCTAGGTGTTGTGTCTGAGCTTGTTTGCTCAAGGCTACGGCTCTACCACTTGAGTTCCGCTTCCAGCTTCTTGGTGGTTAATTGAAGGTAAGAGTCTCGCAGATTTTCCAGCCTCGGCTGGCCTTATGGTGCTTTCCTCAGATCTCAGCCTCCCAAGTCACTAGGATTCCAGGCATGAGCCATGGTGCTCGGCCTGAGGCCTCCGGGGAGGAGCTGGGTCCCCATCTCCCCCTCACAACCCCTTGAGCCCTTGCAGTATGTACCGCCGGGTGCCTTTGCCCAGCTCAGGACAGAGGCTGGAGCCTCTCCCCGCCCTTCTCCCAGCACCAGCCAATCACCTTTGTTCAAGACCCTGATTGCCAGGGACCAAGGACCACGCCCCAAACCGGGGTGGCCCGTGGACCAACTATCTGCAGTACTACCTCATTTAGTCACATTGTGTGTCCCCTAAAACACGGGGGTACAGGCCCCCTGAGTGACTGCCATCCTACTGCCTGGGCCAGCCTGTTCTCTCCAGGAAGATGCCCCCCATTCTCCCCGATCCCCAGCGGCCGTGTCTCTCTAGGCCCCGTGGCTGTTGTCCCTTCGTGGGGAGATGGTGGTGTCTCTGGAGGATGCCAGCCTGATGGGGCTGCACGTGGACCTCAATGTCACCACCATCACCGTTCAAATCCCCCGGCGAGACCTTCTGCAGAGACAGGAGGTCAGCGGGGACCAGCTCTGCCCGACGTGGGGCGGGGAGGGGGTGGTGGGGAACCTCCCGAGTGTCACTGCACCCCAAAGAGTATCTCACCACCCTCCAAGCGGCCGCCTGTGAGACCGGACGGATTTAGGCAGGCAGGTTGGAAAATTGGGTCCCATTAGCGTAAAGTGCTCGGCTCGGCAGATGAGGGGCTGCGGCAATCATGAATTCACCGCGTCCTGATCATCGTGGCAGAGACGAAATTACCATCTCTTTAAATAGCCCAAAGTTGCCGGGTAAGAGAAGACAGCTCATGTGACATTTGCTCCCAGCCTGCCTCCTGCTAAAAATATCCCTGCTAAATAATATTTCCTGGTTATACAAGAGCAGTGGGCCCTGGCCTGAGCTCTGGCACACTTGGGGAGTTTAATTGAGATACTAGTTGGGACTGGGGGGGGTGGAGGTGGTGGAGGATTGAGCCTGGGGAAGGAGCACTTTTCGGGGTCACAGAGGGGACTGGCCTGCTTCCCCAGGTGCAGAATGTCTCCATGGAGCTGCTGCCGCTCTGGCTGGTGGGAGGTCACTACGCCTACTCTCTAGAGGCTGCTTGCCCACTGGGTAAGCGCCCAGAGCACCCCCGCGCCCGCTCTTCTCCTGCTGGGTGTCTTTCCGCCTATTCTGTTCTCTTCCTTCCTCTCCACACCTTCTTTCTCTCAGTCTCATGACACTTCTTAGTCCCTGGTCTTGGCAGAGAACTTCAGTTCTCTGGAACAAGTAGAAGGCTCTGTTGTGTGAAGAGTCTGGGTAGCATGGGGAAGGTCGGTGGTATAAGAAGATGCCAGGAACCGGTGCTCACGCCTGTAAGCTTAGCTCCTCAGGAGGCTGAGATCTCAGGATCACGGCTCAAAGCCAGCTGGGGCAGAAAAGTCTGTGAGACTCTGATCTCCTGTGAGCCAGCAGAAAGCTGGACGTGGAGCTCAAGTGGCAGGGGGCAGCCTTGACTAACAATAAGCTCTGGGACAGTGCCCAGGTCTTGAGTTCAAGTCCCAGTACAGAAAGACAAGTTGGGCATTGGTGGCTCACACCTGTAATTCTAGCCACTCAAGAGGCTGAGGTCTGAGGATCATGGTTCAAAGTCAGTCCAGGCAGAAAAGCCCACGAGACTCTTATCCCCAATAAACCACCAGAAAACTGGAAGTGGCGCTGTGGTTCAAAATGGTAGAGCGCTCGCCTTAAGCTGAAGAGCTGAGGGACAGTGCCCAGGCCCAGAGTTCAAGCCCCACGAACAGCCAAAAAAAAAAAAAAAAGACAGAAACACACACACACACACACACAAACACACACACACACACACACAGCTAGAAGACTACAAACCTGGGGTCTGTGACTTTCTAAATGTTGGGGTCTCAAATGGACTCTGGAGACCCTGAGAATAAAAAAAAGACGGGTCTGAAGTCTGCACCAGACCCCGGGGCTGGGATGGGATCTGGTAGCCCTGAGGTTCTGATACAGGCCTTGTTTAGGACAAGAGACTGGACAACTCCATTTCCATGCGCTTTATGTAGAGGCCAGGAAGGCAGGGAGCCATTTCCTACTGCCAGGGATTTCCGTGCTAAAGAATATGGTGTGCAAGGTTAGGTGGACCAAAGGCTCCATCCTGTGTGGGCAGAGATGGCTAATTTTTTTTTGTTGTTGTCGGTTGTGGGGCTTGAACTCTGGGCCTGGGCGCTGTCCCTCAGCTCTTCAGCTCAAGGCGAGCGCTCTACCATGTGAGCCACAGAGCTACTTCCAGGTTTTTCTGCTTATGTGGTGCTGAGGAATTGAACCCAGGGCCTGATGCTTGCAAGGCAAGCGCTCTACCACTGAGCCACCTTCCCAGCCCTAACTCTTTTTTTTATTTTTTTTGTCAGTCATGGGGCTTGAACTCTGGGGTTGGGCGCTGTCCCTCAGCTCTTCAGCTCCAGGCAAGCACTCTACCACTTGAGCCACAGCGCCACTTCTGGTTTTCTAGTGGTTTTTGGAGATAAGAGTCTCACGGACTTTCATGGCCCGGGCTGGCTTTGAACCGTGGTCCTCAGATCTCAGCCTCCTCAGTAGCTAGGATTACAGGGGTGAGCCACCAGTGCCTGGCTCCCAGCCCTAGCTCTTGTATATCTGTGTAGAATTTTATCAGGGTTGAAGTCTCTGAATCAGGGCTCTGGGGAGTTTTGGGCATCAGGGACCTTTCCTTCTCTGATGATGAGATCCCTAATCCCTTTATTTGGAGACAAATGCTTTCATTGAACAACTGCAAAGCTGGCTTTAAAACTGTGCGGTGGCTGACACAATTCTTGCTATAGTGTAAACAACTGATAGGAATTTTTTTTTCCTTGCCAGTACTGGGGCTTAAACTCTGGGTTTCTCATTCTTTGCCTTTTTCACTCAAGGCTGGTGCTCTACCACTTGAGCCATATCTCTACTTAGTGGGAGAGAAGAGTCTCGCGGATTTGTCTGCCTGGGCTGGCAAATCCTCAGGTCTCAGGAACCATGCTCCTCAGATCTCAGTCTCCTGAGAAGTTGGGGTTGCAGGAGTGAGCTGTGGGCATTAACGTGTCTTATTTTTTGTCAGTCATGTCATTGTTTTTCCTTGACTGGTGTCCTCCCTGGCCCAGTGTCACCCCAGCCAGATTCAGAGGTCTTTGTCCACATTCCCAAGCGGAGGCTGGGGCTGATTAGAAGAGGGCCCCTGGTAGAAAGGGGCCTGAGCCTGAGCTTCCTCCGGGTGCACCAGTCAGACCCCGTGGCTGTGATTGAGAGCAAGGACTTCCTGGTGGTCAGCCTTCCGGCTGCCGCGCTGCTCCGGGCTCAGGTCAGTGTCCTGGTGGGCGTGGCTGTCCTGTCCTTCTAGGTCCCAACTTTGGGCCCAGTACACCAGCGGGAGAGGAGAGCTGACACGGGACTTGGCCACAGGTCTCCCTCCCTGAGCCCAGTACTGTGACCAGGAGGCCTTCAGGGATGGGGGTGGGGGACTTGTCACCTGATCCTAATTCCTCCTGGCCCACAGCCTTGCCAGGAGTCCCAGGGAGCTCCAGGGGTGCAAGCTTCCTACAGGGTGGACCTGAGCCTGGGGTTCTCCGAGTCCCTCACCCCGGTGCTTTGGACGGTGGAAAATTTCTTCCAATGCATGGGTAAGGGAGTTGTCTTGGGAGTATGTGCTGGTTTATGAACCTTCTTTCCCTGACCTGAGCTCGCTTCCTCCCTCCCTCCCTCCCTCCCTCCCTCC